CGTTTAGTATCAGCTCAGGTTTGTTATTTAGTTTTCCCAGTTTAGGTTTCTTTAATTATTTGTCATCCCTCATTTGCCTGTTTTGCCACTACGCCACTTTGTAAATAAACATCACTAGCATTATCATCTACTGCCTGCATTTTGGGTCCTTTCTCCCTCCAACACCACACGGCTCGCCTCGGCAGCCGTGACAGTACGAACCGGCCACAATGGACCCAGCAGCATTCAACCCGCCCGAGGAGCTCCGGGAGGATATTATTTACTCGGTAGACAAATTAATTAACGTATGGCTGGAGCACGAGGTGAGAGGGTTTCGCCAAGCCATAGCTAATCGGCTACAGTGCTTGGTTTCTGGTCTCCCCTGGTTGCTCAGCTCACTCCACCCACTCGCACAGAATTTCATCCTGAACGAGCTTCGTCTTCACCCCCCGGCTGCTACCATCCACCCTGCAACTCATGCTTCACTGCCCGGCCCGACGGAGGATGTTCTGCCCGGCCCGTCAACCCAGGCTTCAAGAGGGAAACGGCGCTCACGCCGTCGACGCTCCTCACCACAGTCGGACCTGAGGATTTGAGAGCGGCCGGCTGTGGTGAGTGGACAGGAAAATATTATTGGTCTGAACTGTGGGACTGTATGGGGATCACTACACAGTGTAAACACTGTTCTCATATTTATTATGTTGAATATTGTTATAAGGTGGAGTGGTGGTTAGCCCTCCTGCCCCACAGCAAAAAGATCCTGGGTTCAATCTGGCTGCAGCCTTTCTGTGTGGATTTTGAATGTTCTTGCTGTGTCTGCATGGGTTCGCTCTGTGTACTGCAGCTTCCCACAGCCCAAAAACATGCATAGTGTTAGGTCAGTTGGAGAGTCCAAATTGCCCGTAGATGTGAATGTGAGTGTGTACAGTGAATGTCTCTCGATGTGTTACCCCCGTGACAGATTGGTGACCTGTCCATGGTTGTACCCGTTTGGCTGTTGAGATAGGTAACCCTTAATTGGGTAAGTGTAAGAAAATGCCTGGAATAATGTTATACAGATATACTGTACACTGTGTTCTCACCAAAGCAGTACTCATGTAGAGGAACATGTCTGTATACTGGCTCCAAAACCACACATGAATCTAAGTATACAGTTACAGCTGGTCATATATGTTATGATGTGGTAGATAATGTGCAGGTAAATCAAAAGAAAGACAGAAAAATAAATAGCATAGAGTGCCACACTGTTTCCCTCATATACAACAATATACAGTAATGTCTGTGTAACTACACATAGTCAGTGCAGGCTGCAGAAATTGGGGATTAAACCATGTAACATTATAAGGACCTGGGCTTATTCAAATCCACAGCTTTAAATTTATGTTGTTAACCATGGATGTTTTCAGTCACACGTATATTTACGAAGGCACGCAAGAGACTGTGCTGTGTGTATGAGTGTGTGTGTACATTTGAACAGTGCTATGTGTTATTTTCATAACTTCTTGCCCTAAGCCTGCACAAATTGCAAATTTCCTCCGCTCTTATGAGAAAACAGTTTCACATTGTTCAGATTTTCCATCTTTTTAATATTATTTCTGACTCCTTTTATATACTTTGACCACTGTCACATTTAAGATGCTTTTAAAATGCCATCGGCCCACTTAACTTAATATCAGATGAATAAACTCATTTCTTTCAGAAGACTTACTTGTAAAACTCCACTACAGAAGTTAATTCAGCAGAAAACAAGTCATAAATAAAGTTTTGGTGTGGGATGTTAAAATACCCGGATTGGTACTACAAGACTGCGATGGATTAAAGTAAGAAAATGGCCTACCGTAGATCATTCATTTACTGGACTGGACTGGCGAGTTCAAAAGCAACACTTGTTGAGGTGGGTGAGTTTACTCAGCGGAGCTCCCAGTGAATCTGATCAAATTATTTCTGAATCAAAAGCCTAGTTCTCAGTGACATTTATGGAATTTTACATGACTAGTGCAAAGCTTTTGTTTGGTAATTTCTAGTAAGTTCATCTGGTTGAACTAGATGAAGTCCAGACTGACTATGACTTGCCTCTTCAAAGCATTTCAGACATTTTGCCTCTGAGTCTTAAAACACTCAATCTTTAGAACTGAAAATCTGGTAGTGACTGGAATTGTTTGTTCCAAACATGATTAGCTACCCCCAGGTTATTTCAAAGTTGTTTGATAAATGGGAACTGAATGTGTCTGCCATGTTTTGCACGAATCCTCATTGTACACAATTGAGAATCACAATAATGCAACACAAATCTACAAAAATACTGAACTTTTAATTTTTTTCTTTAAAAAATCTTTGTGGCTTAGCGAGTTGTTTATCCAATAATGAACTAAACTCTTAAGTATGACTTTGCTGGTACATTTTTATCGTTTTTTTTTTTGTTTGTTTTTATACTGAATGGAACACAAATGTAATACATTAAAGAAAGAACAGAATATCAACCAAGAGTCAAAACACACACAATACTGATTACATCTGTTCAACTTTTTGTTATTATGGAAAATTTTAGGACAAAATAAGGAACTGAAAACGTGAATATAATTAACATTTCACATGATAGATTTTTCTTATTCTTTATTACAAATTGTGTCATCTGTAAATTATGTATGGGAAATTACTAGCATTTAAGCTCCACATCTTAAAAGGCATTACATTTTGGAATAAGTATAGTATATCAGATACATTTTGGTCCAGTTGTCACATACTGATGCATAATAGGGATTCCACTGAATTACTTAACGAGTATGTTGCGGGTATAACATTTTTCAGCATATCTCACAGAGTGCAGCAGAAGCCCCTCTACATCCTAAATCAACACAGTGAGACTTTGGACACATTTCTTCCACTCACGATGCCACTGTTCTAGCACTTTTAAAGTAAAAAAAAAAAAACAATGTAGGAGAAGTCTGTTGCATGTGAAAAACGTTTGCCTTCTGACACAGTAAAAGTTCAGAAAGGGTATATTTTAACCCAAAGAATGACCTTTTCCTAAGCCTTTCTCAGTTTTTGTACCTTAACATAACTACAAGAGTAGACTACAAAAAGTAAAATCAAAACAAAACTAGATAATTAAAAACAAAGTTTTAGACACAAGGATGCCTTCTGGGTTTGGATTTTATACCACAAACTCCACTGAGTTCCTCGTTTGGACTTTTGTTCATTTTTATACTAATTCTTTTGACAAGATTTTACTATGCATAATGAGAAATTACACTAACGTGTCCTTAACAAGCAGCATAAGCGATGTATATGGGCTGAGAGAGTATTGGATTGCAGCTTGCTCTGTCAGCTGCCTGTTACATACAGTAGCTTGCAAAAGTATTCGGCCCCCTTGAACTTTCCCACATTTTGTCACATTACAGCCACAAACATGAATCAATTTTATTGGAATTCCACGTGAAAGACCAACACAAAGTGGTGCACACGTGAGAAGTGGAACGAAAATCATACATGATTCCAAACATTTTTTACAAATAAATAACTGCAAAGTGGGGTGTGCGTAATTATTCAGCCCCCTTTGGTCTGAGTGCAGTCAGTTGCCCATAGACATTGCCTGATGAGTGCTAATGACTAAATAGAGTGCACCTGTGTGTAATCTAATGTCAGTACAAATACAGCTGCTCTGTGACGGCCTCAGAGGTTGTCTAAGAGAATATTGGGAGCAACAACACCATGAAGTCCAAAGAACACACCAGACAGGTCAGGGATAAAGTTATTGAGAAATTTAAAGCAGGCTTAGGCTACAAAAAGATTTCCCAAGCCTTGAACATCCCACGGAGCACTGTTCAAGCGATCATTCAGAAATGGAAGGAGTATGGCACAACTGTAAACCTACCAAGACAAGGCCGTCCACCTAAACTCACAGGCCGAACAAGGAGAGCGCTGATCAGAAATGCAGCCAAGAGGCCCATGGTGACTCTGGACGAGCTGCAGAGATCTACAGCTCAGGTGGGGGAAAGTTGGCCTTTATGGAAGAGTGGCAAGAAGAAAGCCATTGTTAACAGAAAACCATAAGAAGTCCCGTTTGCAGTTTGCCACAAGCCATGTGGGGGACACAGCAAACATGTGGAAGAAGGTGCTCTGGTCAGATGAGACCAAAATGGAACTTTTTGGCCAAAATGCAAAACGCTATGTGTGCGGAAAACTAACACTGCACATCACTCTGAACACACCATCCCCACTGTCAAATATGGTGGTGGCAGCATCATGCTCTGGGGGTGCTTCTCTTCAGCAGGGACAGGGAAGCTGGTCAGAGTTGATGGGAAGATGGATGGAGCCAAATACAGGGCAATCTTGGAAGAAAACCTCTTGGAGTCTGCAAAAGACTTGAGACTGGGGCGGAGGTTCACCTTCCAGCAGGACAACGACCCTAAACATAAAGCCAGGGCAACAATGGAATGGTTTAAAACAAAACATATCCATGTGTTAGAATGGCCCAGTCAAAGTCCAGATCTAAATCCAATCGAGAATCTGTGGCAAGATCTGAAAACTGCTGTTCACAAACGCTGTCCATCTAATCTGACTGAGCTGGAGCTGTTTTGCAAAGAAGAATGGGCAAGGATTTCAGTCTCTAGATGTGCAAAGCTGGTAGAGACATACCCTAAAAGACTGGCAGCTGTAATTGCAGCAAAAGGTGGTTCTACAAAGTATTGACTCAGGGGGCTGAATAATTACGCACACCCCACTTTCAGTTATTTATTTGTAAAAAATGTTTGGAATCATGTATGATTTTCGTTCCACTTCTCACGTGTCACCACTTTGTGTTGGTCTTTCACGTGGAATTCCAATAAAATTGATTCATGTTTGTGGCTGTAATGTGACAAAATGTGGAAAAGTTCAAGGGGGCCGAAAACTTTTGCAAGCTACTGTATGCCTGACTATGAGATAATAAGACAGACGAAAAGGGTCAGTGCTCCCTTTTCTCCCTGAACAACTCCTATGAATTCAAACCACCCATGACTCTCTCTCTCTATATATATACATATATATAGTGGGATGGACTGTAATTTTGTTCTATTTATTATTTTTTTGGTCATTCAGTTTAAACGTGTTTAAAATCCTGCAGTTCCAACAGAAGCTCTAAATGTATGTAGTATCAGTGTAAAATAATAAGATGCATGTAATGCAGGGAAAATGATAGAAGATACTCTGATGATTGCAGTTCTGTCTGTAATATTGTAGGATATTTACCTATATATAAGGCATCTTGTAATGACTGTTATTATAAACTGATACTGTTTAAATATAACTGAATTCTGTTGATGAAAATGAACTAATTAGGGCTCAAATGGTTGAATCCTGCACTAAAATCATCTTTGTGTGAATAAGAAGTCTCGACTTAGGTTACCCCAGATCACACTACTGTTTGTCACATTAACTCACCATGTGGTTGTGGGTGTCATCCTGTGTGTGCTCTCCCTCCTCCTCTTCTTCATCTTCCTCCTCCTCTTCAGCTTCGCTGTTCTGTCTCTGCTCATCCTCATCTTCAAGCTCTGAACTTGATTCCTCCCCTCCCTGCCATGCCTCCTCACTCTTGCACTCCTCTGTATTGATCAAATCTGCATGAACGCGAACACACACAAGAAACCCAAACGTGAGATGGACATGTCGCAACTGCGAAAACTGTAGATCAGATTTTACAAATGCTGATGATCCATGTCTTTGAGGAAAGAAAACACGGCCGTCCTCACGGGGTAATCTGATTTGAAAATAGGCCTCATGGGATAATAAAGAAAGAATGGAAATTCAATCCAGAATGAAGGAGTAATTTTTGTTTGCTTTGCTTTTTTTGCAGGATAACAGTTCAATGGTCTTAGTCAGGCAAGTGCTATTGCTACTACCCCTCTTGCAGTAAAACTGTAAGAGAAACACAAACATTTAATTCTGTACTAAAAGCCTTGAACATCAGAACATATCTTTAAAGAGTTCTAATGGCTGAAGCCTCAGAAATCCCACATAAACTCAGAACTGTGGAATATGTCTATTGGTCTTTCCACAGAAGAGTGTTTCATAGTTAGGAAAAACAGAGAGAATAATGTCAGCATTAAAGTTCAAGTTCAAGTTCATTTGGGCACTTGACTAGTGTTGTTTCAGTGCTGTAGCAAGCCAAGATCTTAGCTATGTGGTACTTAATCATACAAACTTTTTTTCCTGTGGTCCCTGTGTGCTTTTTTTATTTGTTCAGAAGGAACATTTCATCTTACCAATAGATTTTATTTATAGTTTATTTTACACAACACCTACTCAAGTCAAAAACACTCTGGAAGAGGTAAGCATTATTGCCAAACTATCAAATCAAGAGACATCTTCATGTAAGTACAGAAAGTGAGTAAGCATCAGTAATCTTGTTAAAACAAATGGATTATGGTTCCAGCCATCCTTATAATGGATTGGATTTATATAGCGCTTTTCAAGGCACCTAAAGCGCTTTACAATACCACTATTCATTCACTCTCACATTCATACACTGGTGGAGGCAAGCTACAGTTGTAGCCACAGCTGTCCTTAGCAACTTTCCTCTTGTGCATAGGCCGAATCTATGGAAAAGAGCAAAAGCAGGCTTCAGAATTGTTTGGCAAAGTTTCAAAGGTGGGCTGCCATTCAGAAATCTGGAATCAGGCAACACAGACACTAACATTTTTGTGTTTCTAAAGCTGCATCCCAGACTCCTCGTACGGATACAAGTCAACTGTTTCTGATTTCTTCTCATCTTGGACTTGCTTGCTTGTGCCGTTGTATTTCTTAAATTTTTATTATTATTATTATTATTATTATTTTTATAGTTATTATTGTAATCACATTTTGGTACAGTTTTTACTGCAGTGATTAGTCCTTTTGACCAATTCGGTCCTTTTAATGATTCTTTGTTCATGTTTTTTTCTCTCTAAATTTTTCCAATATAAAGGCCAATGGTTATTTTATCAACACTTACAATTACTTTGTTTAGTTGAGCGGTGAAGTAGCAAATCATTTATAAGGCTTTGATTTATACTGAATGCATGGCCTAGTGAGGTTATTTGAAAATAACATATGATGTTGATTCAAAGCATTCAACTTGTGTTTGTTGGCTATCCACTGAAATTCTCAATATGAAGTCCAAGGAGAGGTTGATGCCAGGGAAGGAGCCAATTCTTAGGCTGAAAACACAAAATGGACTATCAGGAAGATAGCAAAAAACTTTACATTTGGCCAGATTAACAATGTGATACATTTTAAAGGAGAAAGAATTCACTGGCCAGCTCAGTGAGACCAGAAAGCCTGAATGACCACAGAAGACAACTGAAGTGGATGATCAAAGAATTTCCTTTCCCTTTCCTCTTTCCTCGGTTAAGAAAAACCCTTCACAACACCTACTCAAGTCAAAAACAGTCTTGAGGGTGAAGGCATTGTTGTCTCCAATGAGAATTCAGCTTTAAATACAGAGGGTTTACAACAAGCTGCAAACTTCTGGTTATGCAGAAGAAAAAGCCTTCACACCCAAGAGACAAAACCAAACAAAAAAAAACATGTTTGGACAGATGAAACCAAGAATCATGGGAAGAGAAAAGTATGGAGAAGGGAAAAAAACATCTCATGATCATAAGCATGGAGGATACAGTTTTCTGGAAGTGAATCACTAGATTTTATGATTGGAGTAACAGGATGAATTCTGAAGTGTACAAGGCTATACGCTCAACTCAAATCCAGCCGAATGCTGGAAAACTGAAATGGACAGCACTTCACAATACAAACGAAAAATGACCAAATGCAGAAAAACGAGAAGGTGGAAAGAGGTGAGTGAGGAAAACAAACACAAACAAACTGGGGCCATGCGTTGTGTGGAGCTCCCTGTAATCTAGGCCTATTTAAGCTTAACTAAGCGAGGGTTAGTTAGAGGGATCCAGTCTTAACCATAAGCTTTATGCAAAAGAGGAAAGATTCAAATGCTGTGATTACTCTGGAAGTATATAAAGTCCCATTACATCTGACTTCCACCATTGCTCCCTTCAAAAACTGTGGCTGCCAGGAAAATACTTTTATTTGTTTTACTAATTCTGATTCCTGAAGAGGACAGACTCCAAGGTTGGTTGGAAACACCAAAAAGCAAACAAACAAACAAACTGTGCTGTAACCTTGATACTGGTGATCTTGAGCAGCTTTCTCAGTAAGCACACAAATATTACTGAATTTAATGGCCCCTCATATAATATGTGTATGGAAATGTTCTTATTATGTGAAAAAAAAAATGACTCTGCATGCAAAATTGCTCAGTTTTATGACACGTGCACACCGGCCAATTTTTGTCTTACCGCCATGTGTATGTTAGTAAATAAGACTCATTTTGAATCAGAAGGCTCATGCTCGCTGCCTCCAGTCTGCATACTATTTGTTTACCAGCTAGACCCCCTTTGCTCTATACAAGAAACAAGTTTGCTTGGAGGTGAAGTGGAAACAATGTTGATATAAGAGAAAAGGCTGCACTAAGACACAAAAGAAAGAAGAAAAATTACAGATACTAGAAACAAATAATGGTTTCCAAGGTTCAAGGAAGACCTATACAGTTCAATGACAGATTTTACTCAGCTAGTGCAAAATCACAGGGACAAAGTCAAGGCCCCTTGAAAATGAGGTAATTGTTTGCATTTGTTTAGTTGACCATTACTATTTTACTACTGTTTAACTCTGATTAGCATAATCAGAGTGTGCACTGGTTTTGTAGAGTTCCAATTCCTTGAATGATTTCATTTATAATGTAAGGTATGTATGTGTGTGGGGTGGGGGTGTCACCTGTGGCAGCTATGTGTGGATCTTCTGTGATCTGCTCCAGTCTGCCCAGCAAAGCCTCGATGTTGGCTTTAATCTGAGTCAACTCTGACTTTATCGCCTGAAGCTCTGTGCCTTTCACTGCTGATAGAGAGACACAGACAAACATAGACAGAGGGGAGGGAGGTGAGAGGGGATGTAAGTGTCCATGTCCTGATTGATAAGCCTGCAAAGAAAGCAGTGGATCCACACACTTTTAAACACTCTCTATTGTTTAAATTATCTTTTTCCTTTTAGATTATCTTTGATTTGATCTCATATCTCATATTTCTAAGCAGGCAATACAAAACTTTTGCTAAGCTCCTTTAATGAAAGCTGGACGTCTGCACTTTAATCACATCCTGATCGTTTGATTTAAAATCCATGGCGGTGATGTACAATGACAAAACTGTACAAGAAATGTGTCACTGTCTCCAAAGTTATGGCCCTGGCTACATCAGGTCCCTCTTCTGATCACTTTGATGGAAATCCGTAAATATATTTTGATCTTCATCATGTGCTAGTCAAAAACTTGATGTGTTAGCAGCACCGGAGATAAAGTCAGGGGATCACCAAGAACATCTGGAGTCGTGTGTTGGGATTCATGAGCATCTGTGCCAGATTTTATGACATTACAGACAAATATCCTGCTGTGGATCAAAGTGATGAATTACAGTCTTATTCAGTAAATGTTAAACTTTTTCATCTTTTTCTTTAATCAAAGTACTCTGATGTATTTCTCTGAAACTTAATAGATTTTTCTGATCAAATGGATGAAAGCTTGTCTGTGTTTTGAAGATAGAAATGTGAGAAAATCTACTCAAGTTTTATACTATTTCTATTTAGCCTTCCATTTTCCCCTTTAACTCTACCAGCGTACCTCTTGTGTCCTCACTTCTGCCCCCGTCCTTCTTTTCTGGTCTTTTACTCTGTTGTCCTGTCTTTTTCTTTTAGTTTTACATTGTATTAAAATTCTAGTTTTGTGTGCCTCTTTTTTAAAGCACTTTGTGACTCTTGTTTGTGAAAAATACTGTATAAATAGATCATTTTTTCTTTCCTTGCTTGCATTACCTTGCTGAGCCATGCCTCCCTGAATAAGGTTAAATGCAGACAATTTGGTTCTCTCAGCCAAAGTTTATTGTTATTGTAATGTAGTAGTGACAACCTCACCCTCTTTGTTTAATCCTATTAAACCTATAGGGCAATTAAATTTTTGTTTTCAAATTTGAATTTCGACAGACTCTTTGTCTGGAAAAATGCTCCCTTTATTATTCCTACAATAAAGATATCAAAGGCAATGGAACAGATCCAAAAATCCAAAAGATGCATCTCTGTTTGACATAAAAATAAGACAGCTGAACCCTTTGATGACCTTTCAGTGATCTTACACACACACACACACACACACACACAGCCTCACACACAAAGACAAACCTTGAGATAAGAGGTCTGCCAGAAGCTAGTAATAAATCGACACATCGCTGCAGTGACTTGGCATTAGTTTCTCTTTACCACTTATCACGACCTCTAGGGACAATCTGTTTTTTACAGCATACAGAATCACCAAGATAAAAGTTTTCAGAAATAATGGGTGTTTTGCCTTTGATGGCTGTTAAGATTGTAAAGATTTCACCAGAAGCAACTGGACGCAAGCTGCACTCAAGCTGTGCATGTTGCTGTAAGGACTGGGGAAAAAGACACTTTTTCTTTTAAGTAGACAAGATGGCTTGTCGTGCAGAAATCGATGATTGGATTAATGAAATTAAATTGTTACCAGGACTTCATGTCTTCACTCTTTCCACCCTTCTCCCTCGCACACAAACCCAAGAATCCCCCCCGCCTTTTACGGCTTGTCTGTTCATTACAAGTTATACATGCAGGCACAACCCGAAGCCTTATCACACAGGCTCTTTTAGAAGGTTGCTCTGACTCTAGACCCCAGGCAATAAAAGACCTGGCAGTCTTCCGTTGCCTGCTTGTGCTGCCATGGCTTTTTGCCTTATTCCATCTCTGGTATTAGACACTGGTGTCTGACACTTTTATTTTGGTCTTACATTTATTCTACTGAAGACTTTATGAACAATCACTAAAACTCTGACTTTTTCTCTCTGACTAACTTATGTATACCTTTTTGATCTTTAAGCTCGAATAAGCACAAGCTCAATTCAATACAAAGAATTGACCCCAGCAACGCAGTTTCTGCTACATTATTGCTGCCCTATCTGGAGAATTGATATTTTGTTGTCCAGCACATGAGATTCCTTTCACACTTAAAGAGTCTAATTTTGATTAATGAATTTATCAGAGTTATTTGACTTCAAACAAAAGGGACCCAGAATCTGCCTTTAATATCTCCCAGCCCACACACTGTGACGTCAGCTCAAGCCAACATTCAGCTAATCCGCATTGTTCAACCCACGCCTGGCGCCTGCTGAATTCTGGAGAGTGTCACCTCTTTGGACGGCTGTGTGAGAAGAACCAGAACCAAAAAAACAACTCTGGATCCAATTCATGACTGTACCACGAAGGTAATGATGTACCATTCCTTTCTATGACAAAGACCCGCTGAAATTTGAATTTGATTTAATTAGTTTCCTGTAGCATTTTGCTCATATAAACCCGCTAACCCTTAAGGCTGCAAGAGAATTGGGTATTCTAACATGGTACTGTAACATGGCGGAACTGAAAATAAAACATTATGTGTTATTATCCTCACAAAACATTAAGTTAATAAAAGAAGAGCTGTTTTTTTATAGTTACAGTGATAACTTAATAATATGAGTGTATTATTATTTATTTAAGTATTCTCTTAAAGCCGCAGGAAACAGAAATAAACTGAATACTATAAAAGAAAAAAGAAAAAGGCCACATGTAGCTGTATGTAACAGCATTTTTTTATTCATTTCATAGAACAAAATAATTTTTGTATGAAGCTACATGACTATATATATTTTAAATGTGATGCTGGCATCTATTGTATTTGATGCAATAAACTAATTTTGACTATGCTTTTGAATTTAAATACACAGACAATATTCTTGAAGGGGGTCAACAGCAAGCAGGAAAACAAAAGATACTACCATTTAAAACCAATCAGAACTTCTTTATTTTAAAAGTGGGGGGGGGTCACTTCTATCTACAACTAAGACCTCTGAATTCCTAACTTAATCCAAGGTTTGTTAAAATGTCATCTGTTTCCCATTTCCATGCTGGAGGGAAGTATCTTCAAGGCAGCGCTGTGATGGATGTGACCATGCTTATGCTTTGTCTATGATAGTTTTAATATAAAAAAAACCCAAAAAAAACCCTTTCCATGTATTAGTTTTTGGAAATGATTGATAGAGCTTAAATTATTATTTTGGTCTTATTCGGCGTATACATAGATGACTCTTCACAAAAGCTTATTGCAGCTTGAAAGGTAAAATCTTCAATTCTTCAAAAAAATCTTTAAAGATTACGTGAAATGTGCTAAATTGTTATGGAAGTGAGTAATAATGGTTAAAGTATTCACTAAAACAACTAAAACTCATCTTTTTGGAGTTTGATTAACATTAACTGCTTTACTGCTCTGGTATCTTTTTTGTCGTGAAGCACTTCATGATCTCTGTCTTGAAAACTGCTATATAAATAAAAATGTACTTACTTAATGCTTAGAATGCAAAACAGGATACACAAATCTAAAGTAAAAAAGCAAGAAAACCAAGATTTATTGTTTTAAAGAAAAGAATACACATCATGTAAATACAAATCTAAAAGCTGGGCCGTTACTAGATAATTATTTAATTATCCTTTATTAACAATTTTAAAAAACAAATATTCAAAAGTAAAACAAGTTAAAAAAATGTTTTATTAGGGCAATTTTATTTATATAGTGTATTTCATTACACTCAATATGCTTATGTCCTCATGTGGGTTGTGTTAAAGCTGAGGTCCCTTGACGGTGAAGCAGGATCATCTTTAGATTTAAGTCTTGATTTGGAACAGACAGAAGAGCCCCCAGCTCAAGCTCTAAGGCTGCAAACATTTCTCCTATGTAGCTCAGGGCCAGACCCAGATAAGTTACGAAAGTCATCAGCAAAATAAAATTCAAAAATAAATCCCAAAATATACAGTACATAGGAACACTGTAGAGAGCCAGGACTGGTTATTCTACTCATTCTAACTTCATTCTGAATTGGAGGCAAGAAAAATAATTTTTTCATATTTAGCCCAGAAAAGAGGTAGCAGATGTAGTCTCCAAAGCAAATAAAAGCATGAATGGCTTTTTCTATATGGGAGTATGAAAACAAGCGGTAATAGCGGTAGTAAATATTAATAGTCAAATTAAAATCATGTGAAATATAAAAATGTCATACCGTTGACCATAGGTCCAGTTGTTTAAGGATGTCCTGTGTAACTGCAAGAACAACTTAATTCATATCAGCGAGCATTAGGCCAAAAAAAACTGTTCTGATATCCCCAAAAAATCTGCAGTTAAAAAAGGCTTTTGTTTATTCTCTTCAAAACAATTTGCAATGTAAGTTTAATGAATACACAGAAAGACACTTAAATCTGTGACATGTAAATTGCTTTGTGAGCTCTACATAGACTGAAAACTTCAGGGAGCTGACAGGGCCTTTGCATAATTTGTTTAGAATCTGAATATGCTTTCAATTCATGTGATGGGAAACTGGTAAAAAAAAGGAAAGAAAAAAAACAAGAGAAAAAACAAGAGAGAGACAAGGATTAACCTGATGTTTTGGCCTTCCAATGTCATGTAAAAGCAGGGCTTGAAAGATAGATGAAGAGGAGGTTTGAGACAGGGTGGAGCTGGTTAGAAATTAAACCAGAAGAGATAATGAATAAGAGAAAAGCAAGAAATATATGTAGTCAGAAGGAAAATGTTTGGTGACAGAGCTGTGTGTTTTTCCTAAAATCAATATCACTGACAGTTTGAGTCTTTAACAAGTTATATGTACAGAATTGTATATCAATATATGTACGTGCATATTTACTTTCTTAAAATGTTGATATTTATTTTTACTTCTACTTGGAAAAGTAAACAGTGACAAACTAAAGTCAACACATCAGACTTTAATGGTGGATTAATGTGGTGTAGGTACTGCAATGCTTTACAACAGCTTCTTGTAAAGCAAAACTGGCTGATGGTTCATTTGTACACGTTGAAACTCACATCTTTGTTTGTTGCCATTGCTGGTTGGGAGGATGGAGGCGTTACATGCCAGCAGTTTGACAGGCAGAGACTTGACCCGTCGTACCAAGGGTACAGCCACTCTCGGGCGTTTGACTGGCACCACACGTGGAACAGGAGACACTCTGCCACGGTACTCAAACAACCTGCGAAGAGGAAGGTGAGGGGAGACAGAAAGAATGAGAAGGAAGCAGGGGCATCAAAGTAAAGAAAGATAGAAAGGAGGGTTGAAAAGGAGGGAAACAAGAGGAAATGTTGAGATAGGAGAATAGAGGTCAAATAAGGAGGCAATGTTTTGAAAATGACATTGTGTACCAGCATGCTAAAAAAACTACATTTATCTTTAGCTGAATCTATGAAAATGCCAAAGATGAAACAGTTTGACAGCATAAAATAGTATTTTGCATAAAACCTGGGATACCTCGCTACTGTGTGTTGAGTGTCACTGAAAAATTTGAGAAAACTGGACAAGTGGAAGATAAAAAAAGAAGATGGAAGCTTTAGATGTTGTATTATCGCTTATATTCTTTTGATTTTTTTTTAGTGTTTTTTTGTGTATCCTTTATTTCATGTGCTGAACTGTGGTCAAATTTATTGTTTTAAATGTGCTTTATGAATAAAAATTTGCCTTAGAATGTACTGGGAGCCTAAAATAAACTATCTGACAGATAGCTATCTGTACAATGCAGTGGAGGCTCTATCATGGTTTATGGCTTCATTTCACCTAGTGGTGTGGGGAAGCTTGTCAAAATTGATGGAATTACAAATTCAGAAAAGTATGATCATATTTGTATCCACCATCTGGAAAGCATTAGATTAACAATAGCTTCAATTTTTAATATGACAATGATCCCAAATACGCTGCAGTACAGTACAAGTATACCTGGATAGAAAAATACACAACATCTGTCATGGACTGGCCTCCCCAGAGCCTTGACCTCGACAGCCTTACTGAAGCAGTGTGAGATTGGATATATGGATGTGTCTGGAAACTTGCTTAAAAAAAAAGCGGAAAAAAAAAACTACATTCAAGTAAATAATTTATGCAAAAAAAACCCAAAAACTGACAGTAAAGCTGAGAATGTCTGGCTTTGTGACTGTGCTGCTCACAGCTATACGTAAAAATCACCCAAACAATACCAAGATTTAATGGTCAACATTTATTAGGTTCCTGGCTTTTTTAGTACTTCCATTGGCAACTGCTCAGCAAAGAATCAACAACAACTATTAAGGTATTCTATTAGCCTTGTAACTTCTCAGCAGAGCTTTTGGGAAAAACATCTGTTGCAAATGGTTTACTTGGATTTTATGAGGATAAACACTTTGAAAAAAAGACTTTATTACTATTGTGGAAAAACAATATTTTTGATCTTTCTGTGTGGAACTTCTGGTAGTTTGTTACCCCTGTGGCTTTAACACAGTGATTTAGTAATGTTTTGAACCTTTAGTAATTTCAAAGCTTGGCATTTGTGTTTTATTGAGCATGACATCTAAATAAAAGTGGTTTAGAAATTCCAAGGCAAAATAATTTACGCAGGCATCATTTTTATCATTTTATGAAAGAGTCCACAGAAAGAGCCAGAGGAAAAATGTCTTTTTTGAAATCCAACATATGAGCCTCATTTTCTTGTGGTACACCCTGATGACAGTCTGCTGATGGCTTAAATAAATTTATGAACTTCATGTTTCACAAGTTTAAAAAATATATGCAAAGTTATGTTGCCAAAGTAATACAATTGGGTTACATTACAGTTCAGCCAAACATAAATCTGTAATAAATTAAACCTTTTGAAACATTTTCAATTTTAAATCTCAGTTGTGTTTGAACATGTTGCTGCAAATAAAAGAAACATGAGCTCATGCTGTGAAACTGCTGAGGCAATTCAATAAACATCAAATGTCTTTAAACAAATTGGAATAAGCAGAATAAGATGAGGAGCAGAAATGAATTACGACGGCCCAAACAAGTTGATTCTTAATTATGAATTGTAAAATAGTTTTGAAATAACTTCATTTAGCAATATCTGCCACTGGTTATTTATTTGGCAAGGATTAGCAACAACCAGGCTAATGTAGGGACAGAATGTCAGTTAAATGGATGATCGTGGCTCAAGAGTTGGGAGGTCGCCTTGTAATCGGAAGGTTGCTGGTTTGAGCCCCGGCTTGGACAGTCTCGGTCGTTGTGTCCTTGGGCAAGACACTTCACCCGTTGCCTACTGGTGGTGGTCAGAGGGCCCGGTGGCGCCAGTGTCCGGCAGCCTCGCCTCTGTCAGTGCGCCCCAGGGTGGCTATGGCTACAATGTAGCTTGCCATCACCAGTGTGTGAATGGGTGGATGACTGGATGTGTAAAGCGCTTTGGGGTCCTTAGGGACTAGTAAAGCGCTATATAAATACAGGCCATTTAAAGCCAGTGAGTCTTTTATCGCATAAAAAGGTAAACATTTACATATTTTCTATATCTGCTTGAGAGCCATCATCTCTTACTGAGGTTTTAAATTTTGTTGCGCTAGCTAATGGTAAGAAAGCCTGGCCATGTTGAACTTGTTTTGTGGGTTCAGGTGTAGTCCACAACCTTAAGCAGCTTTACAAATTATAATGAGGAAAAGGCCAGCCCTTATTAAGTGCACTGATTAGGAGAAACAGATAAATAATCTATTACATACATTTATTTTACTGTTTTTTAATATATTTGTATTTATTTTACTCCCATCCCAAAGAACCCGAGATTAAAAGCAAAAGATGTGACTGCCAGCTCTAATGATCTCTGTAGCTGAATAAAAAGCAGGAACTCAACAGTTGCTTGTTTAATGTATTTTCAACACAGGAAACTTTTTCGGAGCTGCTCTGATTTAGCATCGCTGAGAAGAATGAATAATTTAAAGAGTAAAAAATTTATAAAACTATGCAGATTTCTATAATGCAATCTCAACAACATAATCCCATTCTGTGTAACACACTGATTTACTTTAAATGGTAAGAATGTGGCCATTTCTTCTGTTTGTGGGAGAGCAATGAACTACTACAATTTAACGTCCCAAGTCTGAAACAGGGTTCCAGGAACCTCAGGTCAGAGTACATATTTGGGCACAGTTAAAAAGTTAACTGCTTAAATCAAAATCTTTATTTACACCCACATGTCATGTGTTGGTTATTCAATTTGGGTCATGAAAAATAATGACATTTGGTTTTACTACATTATGTGCTATCCTGCACAGGCTATCCTGCTAAGCCTGCAGTTTGAAACTTTTTGGACAAGCAACATAATTTTTTGGTCTGTTTTCAGTAATACGCCCAAACAAAGTCCATAACTTCTAGATTTACACACTCCTGGAAGTTGTTCAGATATTAGATAAAATGAGATTTTTGCAGATAGCAATAAAACTGTAAAGTCAAAGAGCTGATAGTCATCGCACATAATTTGTCCAGATGGCATGGCGATTTCCTCCCCTAACTTAATAAAAACCATGAAATGGTAAATCATATTGTGTAATATGAAAACATAATACCACCATTAAAGCAAAGCTGTTCTGCTGGGCCACGCAAACCCCAGCAGAAAAAGTCCCTGATCCCCTGATTTACTGTAAAGATCATGCTTTAGGAGGTGGATAAACTTTGATCCCAGCTCAGGTGATGTAGGGTCATGAGTTTCAAAATAAATAAGATACAGTAAAAAGAATGGGGGGAAAAAGACAACAGCAGAAGCATTCTCTCTCATAGAGTCCATTTTTGATATAGAAGTAGATCCACTTAACTCAGATTTTTCAATTTTAGGGTCATCGTATTTTATTTCACATGTGCACAGCCTCAGCCTGAACACTCTTAAGCTATAAAAATACTTATAGCCTGGACTGTTTGTAATATTTTTACAGTTAAAAATGTGAGTGAAAAAGTGAGATTGACACATGGGATGGGTGTAAATCAGTGCTGAGGTCTGTGGCCCAGCTGGTCAGCATGTTTCACCAACTGTTAACAAAATGTGTCTGCCCACTTGAGCTCAGAAAAAAATCTACAACTATGGTTTCGAAGCTGGAGGGACTGAAATGGGTTTGAGAACCCAAATTGTGGACAAAAGGTGAGTGGGTGCAAACTATTGATTTGTTTTCTTCGCAGGGTGGTTGAACACTGGGAATACGACTGTAAACATCTGGAAGGAATTCTGCGTAGCAGTGCTGTTCTTTGGAAAGCTTTGGAAATAAGCCAGTTAAGGTGGCTGATTCAGATACCTGATTAAGAATGGGACACGGATGCCTCCGTGTGGAGGTGCATCTTACCCGCCCTTTCCCAAGTCTGCCAACATGACAATCAAGTCTGGAGCAAGTGTCACATAAAAGAAGTAATAGATGGAATATTGCACATTACCAATATTAGACAAAAAAACTCACTGATGTAATGCTTTATTTGTAAATACACAATACAATCAAGTTGTTGTGTGTGCAATGATCCTAAACTTGTAACAGTAAACAAGGCCAGGTTCATGAAGCAATGTTTTTGCCAGTTTGGCCTGGAATAACTTGGCTCACATCAATCCCCATCAAACATTATTTGGGATAAGGCTGTGAGCCTGTTCCCAACTTTTGAAATGATCTTGTAGCTAAATGAAAGCACATTACTGCAGAAAGGTTTCAAAATGGTGTGCTAATCTTTTCCAGAGCAATGAATTATTATCACAGCATATGAATGTCCTATGAATGTAGCTTTAACATCTTCACCAGCCACACAAGGGTGTTCACAAACCTTTGGCCATAAATTCTCTGTTGTTCCTATGCTCTGATTTTTAGCAAATAAAGCCACAATTAATTAGAGTGAGACTGTCTTTTGTTTTGTTTTGTTTTTTTAAATTTCGTTTTTAATTTTAAAAGAGGATATCTGTTGACAGTAGATATCTACACTGCGTGAGGCTCACAGCTGGTGTGGCAGAGATGTACAGAGAATTTTTTTTTTGTTTGTTTATTGTTAAGACTATGACTTGTGCATGCGTAGTAAGTGTGAGCATACACTTCACTGACTTTGCTGTGGGTGTAAATACACGAATCGGTTTCTTCCTGATTAGCTTTAAACGTGTATAGGGTCTACAATTGGGAAGTCATTAAATATGTGTGTTCTTTAAATATTGTCCTAATAGTATATACAAGTATTAAATAATTTGTAGGAAGCAACCACTTCCTTCTACAATTCTGACATACTTGTCTTTTAAATAAATTGGCAATGTGAGAGTCATGCTGTGGTAATCCTTGGATGAGGTGCTTATTTAATTTCAAACTGATGGTGCGTATAAATTATCTTTCAAGTCCAAACCACAGAAACTGGTTTACGCTGGGTTCACAGGATTGCATATGCTATCCACACAAATGCCATTAATCCTTTATGGCATGCTGAATGAAATAAATTTAGACACTTTTTCGCAAGTGACAGTATATTGGAACATGACAAGAAATAAATAATAACTATTATCTACCAAACTGGTTAGTGACAGTTCTAGGTTAGATGTATGTTCCAGTTTCTTTGTGAGCACATACAATATTTACCTCAGCTAGTCTTCCTTTTTTTTTTTTTTTTTTTTTTTTTTTTTTTTTCTCAGCTAGTCTTCCAACAGAAAGGGGGTTAGAGTCATAGTCTCCATGTCTGACCTAGTTTTCAGGCCACATGTTGTTTTTGTCTCTCTTTCTCTGGTTTTTCCTCTGTCTGCGTGGGTGGAGCTCACCTGGGCTCCCGCCCTTGGCCCACGCACCTGGTGCAATCAACCACTTGCCACGGATCTGTCTGATTGCATTCTTTGCCCAAGCCACTATTTAAGATGGTGGTTCAGTGGGCTTCTTTGCTGGATTGCTGAGTAACCTCAATTCCCTGGACCTGCTTCCTGACCTGTTTTCCCTGAAGTCTGGCAATGTGGTGTGGTAACGCGACAACGGACAAAGGAGTGGAGAGCGGGAGCGTGGAGTGTGTTTTTTGGACCCGTTTCCCTTCCTTCCCTGGAAATCCTTAACCCTTCGCACCGAATATAGTTTCACCTGGTGATTGTGTAAATAAAATTGTGACTTTTCTTTCTAACCCCGCTGGTCTGTACCTCAGTTCATTCCGTCCTTGTGACATCAAATCAACCTACTAGAGCTTACAGTTTAGTCTTTCCTATATATAGGAATTTTATCTTTTCATAAAACATATTTACACTCCTAATAATTTGGTGAAAGAATAAGATGGTAGAAAGATGCTTATTTTCTCTGCTACCTCTTCTGAGTTAATTTTTATATACTTTTGATATTAAATATTCTCCAAATATTGTTAGTTGCCCTGCAGGTTAGAACACTCTCCTTGTAACTCTGTGATTTTGAGTGTGCATATGCCATAACCAGTGTTGGGTGTAACACATTACAAAGCAACATTACTTCAGTTATATTTACGTATACTGTAGCAAACAGTTGTGGTCAAAAGTCATATACTTACTGACATTTCAAACTTGTTCACCCAGTTCTTGTTTTCTAATGTCATTAAAGATGTCTGCTGTACAATCATACCACCCTGGACTACAAACAAAATAACTTCAGAAGTGGCAAAAGTAGAGATACTTAAGTAAAAGAACATTTTTGAAAAAATTTAACGCTGAAGTACTCAATCAACTTCTTAACTTAAAGTAATAAATAATAAAAAGTACAGACTCGGAAATGCACTCCAAGTATGAAAATAAAAAGGAGCACTTTAAAGGACAATTCTACCAGCTATTTTTGTCATGTGCTATATTAATTCAGTACACAATAATATGAAATGAATATGAAAGTTATTCCAATCTAAATTCTAATTTTCATGAATGTACTCAGTTTAAATCTGTTATGTAGGACACAGTGAAAAACAATTTAAAAATACCTTCATTTTCTGTTGCCTACATTGTAGAGTTGATTTTGCCTACACAGTTAAACAGGAAAAAGAGTACAGTCAGGAGTTAAAGTGGGATTCAGCAGGTAGGGGAACACAAAGATTGGTTGTAGTGGCGATAATTTCCATTGACAGTTCCAGTGTACAAGCTTTAATCAGCTGACTCGTGCTGCTTTGAGGTTTACCTTCTTTATAGTTTTACACAAATGAATTCAAACCCAATGCTTCACAAGCTGTCTTAGCTGATTTCGATTCTCTAAACTGGAGATGGGGTGAAAGCAGTCAGCCTTTGAGGGGGTGGAAATTTCATATTACTTGACAAATTTGAAACTGTGTGGGTGATTATTAGAAGTGGAAATTGTATGGATAAAGGAATACATGCCAATATATAATGTAGCACCAATTCACAATAACAGCTGTGTTAAGGCATTTCAAATCACAATGTAAAGATCCCACAACATTAGATGGAAACTATCTGAAAAGTCCTTATGAGCATGCACTTGGCAATACTGGCAAAGAAGATCTGCCTTCTCACAGAAAGTGACCTCCAACAGTCACAGACAGGGCCCTAACCCAGCCATCTGCTGTGACATGACATGCAGCCATAACATATAAATGCAATGCAAGTATATACAGGCAAGAGGGGAAGAAATGCTTAGTGCATCATGGATCAAGTCCACCAGGAGCCAAAGCCTATAGCAGCATAACTAAGGGATGGCTCAGGGCTAGCTGACCTAACCATAAGCTTTAATAAAAAAACAAAGTTTAACGCGGAAGGTGTCTGGTATCTGAACCCAAATTATGAACTGCTCCACAGGCTTTCAGGTTTGCCTTTTAAAGAAAGAAAATTATAATAGCTGTAGGCTATACTTTCCATTATGCTTCTAGCAGCTCCAAGAACCACAAGTAAGCATGTACTCTAAGAGCGAATTGCTCTATTGGGATAATCTGACACTAAACAGCAGTGGCGTGCGGTAACTTTTACAGAAAGGCAAACAGATCTTTTTCTGTCACCCAAATAGTGAAAGAAAGGGTTTGCATGGGTTACAGGAAGCATCCCAAGGCAAGCATTCCACACTAGCCCACATTTTAGCCATGTGTTCAAACACCCCTGAGAGCAAAATTCTCAGTTCACTCTTTGTTTAGAGGTAAACTTTAGTGGAATTGTGATGTATAAGAGGATTAATAAACGCAACTGGTCTTCTTCTCTGGGAGACGGAGAAACCTCAATTACCCCCACTTCACTCCATTAGACTTTTGTATTTCAAACTGTTAGCATGACCATCTTAAACACGAATGCTTGGTACCACAAGCTTCAAAAACCTCAACATATTTCCCACGTGTGGGACTAATAAAGGTTATCTTATCTTATCTTATCTTATATAATGACACCGAATAACCCCCTGTTGTTTTAGTGATTTTCTTTCCTCTGGGTAAATGCAAAGATTGGATACAGATACTATTTTAACATCTAGTGTCATCTGGATGCATTATCATAGATTCTTCTCACCAAGCAATTTCTGTTTTCTGTTCTGCTCACACATGTAGTTGTTGAAAGTTGAAAGAGGAAAAGCCTCCCTGCTTGCTGAGTTACTAAGATTAGTGAATATGCTTAATATGGTCTGATCTCATATTGTCACAA